AAAATAAAAAATTTTAAAAAATATACTTATTTGTTTTTAAACATGTCCTTGTTAGTCATTTAATGTTAAATAACAACCGCTAACTATTATATAACCAAACAGTTATATTTATCGAATCCGCTATTTACATCCGCTATTCACTTTTCGTTATCCGTCATCCGTTATCTGCTAACCGTCACTTGTTTCCTGCTACCACTACTGCTATCCATTATCTGCTATCCGCTGAATTTTAATCACTGTACCAAACACGCCATATATATATATTAGCAGGTGAATTTAAAATTTTAGTCGTTAGTCATGTTTTTGAAAAGTATATATTCATCTACAAAAAATGTGAAAATATGCATATATTATAAGTTAAGGAATTAAAATTATGTATATTTATATAAATTGAATGGACTACTAACGAAAAGATTTTTAAAAAAATATTTTTTATAATTGAGGAATAAAAAAAGGTATAAAAAAATTAAGAGACAAAAATTACATAAAATCATAAAGTTAAGGATCAAAATTGACATTAACCTATTAAGATTATAACAAATATAATATTGTGCAATAAAATTCAAAAAAATGGTCTAAGTCAGATTGAAAACTTTTCTCATATAGAGGAGGATGGAATTTTGAACTTCTCCGTTATCATTTGATGAATTTCGTTCAAATTTAGTCTTTGATAATAATTTCTAAAATAAATAAAATTGTATGCAGTTAATGACATTAAAGATTGTAGTACACTAGTGGTACAAGGATGTCAAAGTTCCTTCAACCCAGCTGCTAGCATTTGTTTGAAATTTTCATATCATATTACATCGGCCAGTCAGACTCACTAATCTGTACTGATTTGGACGGCTCTATTGGTTTCTAGTCATTAAACCGTCTTACCAGGTTCTAAGTGCTCACTATTGGAACAAGCTTTGTAACTAGAAAACGATGATTTGTATTCATAATACTGAACCCAATATATACAAGTGTTTATAGTTACACAAGGAAACTAAAGATATATACAATAATAGAGTATATATGATTTAAATTTATAACTGATATGCTGTTATAATACTGAATATATAATTGCCAAGATGAGTCTTGTTGCCGTAATTCATGAGCAGGAATTGTTGGAATTGATGACAGGATTTGTTTCCGTAATACGCTCCCGCAAGATGGAACTACCATAAGTGACTCCAATCTTGGATTGCAGTTGAGAGAACCGTGCTAAGGATAAAGGTTTAGTAAGCCCATCGGCAAGCTAGTCGACAATGGAGATGTGACTGACCCGCAACAGCTTTCGATCCACTAATTCACGCACAAAATGAAGATCAATGGCAATGTGCTTCATGCGGGTATGCATTATGAGATTGCTGCTAAGATGAGTGGCACCAATATTATCACAGTATATTGCGGCGGATAAGAGACAGGATGACCCAATTCACGGAGAATATTATAGACCCAAATGACCTCAGAGGAAGTAGCAGCTAACACGATATTCCGCCTCAGTTGAACTACGAGCAACAGCCTTTTGTTTGCAAGCTTTCCAAGAAATTGGAGTGCTACCCAAGAACACAATGAAGCCAGTGGTAGACTGAAGGGTATCCTTGTCACTGGCCCAATCAGAATCAGAAAAAGCATGAAGAGGGGACAGAGGTTGCCGGTAGAGTAGAAGTCCATGAAAGACAAACCCTTTGAGATAACATAGTATACGCTTGGCTGCCTGCATATGGACATTAGATGGAGCATGAAGGAACTGGGAAAGACGATTGACCGCAAAGGTAATATCCGACCAAGTGAGATTAAGATATTGTAAAGAGCCAACAAGACACCGATACAGAGAAGGATCTAAAAGTTTGAGACCTTGGTGCAACTGAAGAGCAGCAGTGGCCACTGGGGAGGAAACCGATTTAGCCTCAGCCATGCCAAATTTATCCAGTAAATCACGAATGTACTGAGCCTGTGAAAGAAAAAGGCTTGCAGGAGTGAAAATGGCATTAACACCCAAAAAATAGTTAAGAGAACCAAGATCTTTGATAGAGACGGTGTGCCTCATTAACTTGATTAACGAATCAACTAACTTCGGGTTGTTGCCGGTCACAATAATATCATCAACATAAACCAAAAAATATAAGCAATCGGAGCCATGATGATATATAAAAAGAGAGGTATCTGATTTGGAATTCTGGAACCCATGAGAAAGCATAAAATTTTTCAACTCTTTAAACCAGGTGCGAGGGGCTTGTTTCAGTCCATACATAGATTTTCAAAGCCTGCAAACATGCTGGGGTAAGCTAGCATCAACAAACCCAGGTGGTTGGGCCATAAATAGATCTTCTTTGAGCTTCCCATGGAGAAAAGCATTGTTGACATCGAGTTGACGAATGGGCCAATTCTGATTAAGTGCCAGAGAAAGCACAATTCTGATAGTAATAGGTTTAATAATAGGGCTGAAAGTATGAAAGTAATCAAAACCAGATCGTTGATGAAATCCTTTGGCCACAAGACGAGCTTTATACCTTTCCACTATCCCTTCTTTGTTACATTTAATTCGAAATACCCACTTGCAGCCAATGACATTTTGATGGTCACCAGGGGGAACTAACTCTCAAGTACCCTATCTCACCAAGGCATTAAACTCATCAGACATAGCTTGACGCCATTGATGATGTTTCAAGACTTGACTAACACAAGTGGGTTCTAGAGGGGGATCAATTGGGTGTTTAGTCATAGTGAATAGGGTCTTAGGTTTAAAGATATTATTTTGAGACCTAGTGATCATGCCATGGGTGCGGGGGGGTACAGGAGGTGGGTGTGGGGTTAGAGGTGAGTCGGTGGTGGCATTGGAAGAGGGAGAAAGAGAGGTGGCATTGGTGGGCATAAGCTGCGAGCTTGGGGCAGGAGATGAAGGCAAGGTGGAAGTAGGTTGCTGAGACACGGAGTTTGTGTCAAGCTTGGTGGGTGGAGATGATTGGGCAATGGACCTTAAGGGAGAACAATGTTGGATTGGTGGGGGTGTGGAATTGTAGGCCGGTAAGAGAATGGGTGAAGAGGTAAGGTCATGGGCCGAGTGAGAACTAGAGGAAGAGTTGAGGGAGCATACTTGATTAATTTCCGAGGAGGACACACTAGGGGTTGCTGCTTGAGGACGGGCTTGAGACAAGGTGGTATCGACTGCAAGGGGAGGAGGCTTGCGGAACAAAAAATCATGCTCATTGAAAATAACATGCCGAGAAATAAAAAATTTTCCAGTAGAAGGATCAAAACATTTAGGTTAAACCTCCTTTTTGGTCCCACAACTATTGTACGAACCCCCGATTAAGTCCCTCAACTCAAAAAATCCCTAACTTGGTCCCTACTGTTTACCATTTTTACCCAAATTTGGTCCTTCTATTAAAAATCTCTCCACGTGTACTGTTAATTCACAGTAAGACGATGACATGTCAAAATTTTAATCCACATGGAAGACAACATGGCAGAAGCTAGTGACATGGCAATAAAAATTTTAAAAATTCTTTCTCCTTCCTCTTCATTTCTTGAACCCAGAGCCTGGGATCGTCAAACCCATCGCCATGGACTTGTTCAAACCCAACTGGGCGTTCCTCGTTCCCTTTCTCTTTCCTCTTCCTTTCCTTCTTCATCAATTAATTCATCATCATCATCATCCTCATCAAACAACACCCACAAAAACACAAATTTTTTATACAAAATTAATTAATACTATATAAAAAACTATATTATACAAAATATAAATAATTTTGCAGCAAAAAGGAAAATAAAAATTCAAGGAGATTACGTAATACAAAATTTAGGTGTCAAATATTAACACTATATATAATTTTTAATATAATTGGCAACCCCATTTTATTTTACCCGATTATTCCAATTACTAAGATTAACTTACTAATAACAACAAAACTATAAAAATAAAAAATAATATAGCTGCACTGAACATTTTCATTCAGTGAAAAAGAAGAGCCTTTGTTTGAATTAAATAAAATGTGAATTAATTTAGTTAAGAGATTAGATATAAATTATTTCTTACTGTACAACTATACATTAAAAAAGTAATATGAAATAATATATCATATTCCTTTTATTTAACTCAAAAAAATAAAATAAAATCATAAATTATAATACTCTATATCATAATGAAAACTTATTCCAATACAAATGAATATACTTTAACAGCCGTTACATTAAATTCATTTATAATTGATTAGTAAATTAGAACAACTATTCATCTATTATTGTAAAATTTAACGTTATTATATAACTAATTTTTTGATAATCAATTACACATTGATTAAATAATATTATTACAATCATTATATTTACTTTTATTTTTAGCAAAATAATACAGTACATAACACGCTTACTAATTAAATCTATTATAAAGTGAGTCTATCTACATATTATTTTAGTAAAAAAAGCACAATTTCCTAAATCCCCACACGATTTTCACCTAAGCCTTTAGGATATCAATTTAACTTTATCTACATTTATAATTTTTACTTTTGTAGCAAGGGTAAAAAAATTGTACTCAAAAAACTACTATAGGTAACATATTCCTTACTTTTTACCACTTGTTGAAAACTCGGCCAAAATAGTTGGTTCAATTGGAACTTGTTTTAAAAACAAGCTAGATTATGATACTAGCCCAGTAGGAGACTAAGTTAAACTCGCTCAAATTTAATTGATCTAGTTAACCTGAACTAATTCATTTTCTAACATTTCTACGATTTTTTTCATTTTTTAATTTTTTAATATATTTATTTTATCAATAATATAATAATTAAATTATAAAATCTATTTAAAGTTAAATTACTATTTATTAATGAAAATTTTAAAATTAATTTAAAATTACATTATCTTTTCAAGATAGAGAGTGAAATTAATTTAAAATCAAATCAATTTGATTTTAAAAATAAAATAAATGATTACCTTAGTGAATGAAACCAATTTGAAATTAAAAATAATCTCAAACAATTTTTAAAATAAAATGAATAAAAGGAAAAATAATATATAATTAATATGATATTAATGCTTTAGATTTCTATAAGAAAAAGAATGAACTTAATTTAAAATCAATAAATTTTAAAAATAAAGTCTTGAAAATTCATAACTACTTTGATCAAATAATTTAAAAATGATTTCAGTTAATTTTAAAAGTAAAATCAATTAAAATAAAAATAATTTATAATTAAAAAAATAAACATAATAATATTTATTAAGTCAGTGAAACAATTAAATTCAACACAATCCAACACA